TTGGCTCAGGTCATGATCCCAGGGTCCTGGGATTGAGCCCTGCATTGGGCTCCCTGCTCTGAGGGAAGCCTGCTTCTCCCTCTCCCACTCCCCCTGCTTGTGTTCCCTCTCTCGCTGTGTCTCTGTCTGTCAAATAAATAAAATCTTAAAAAAATAAATACTTGTTGAGATTAAACTAATGAGTTGTGATCTGCCATTTAAAATAACTGCTGTTGGGGCACCTGGGTGGCTCAGTTGTTAAGCGTCTGCCTTCAGCTCAGGTCATGGTCTCAGGGTCTTGGGATCGAGCCCCGCATCGGGCTCCCTGCTTGGCCGGAGGCCTGCTTCTCCCTCTCCCACTCCCCCTGCTTGTGTTCCCTCTCTCGCTGTGTCTGTCAAATAAATAAAATCTTTAAAATAAAATAAAATAAAATAAAATAACTGCTGTTATTTTATATGTTACATGTGACTGTGTATGTGTACCTAGATATGTCATATTACATATATAAATTGGTCAATCTGTGTGTGTGTGTAAGTATGAATAGATTGCCTGGTGGAGGGGTTTATTCATCTAGAACTTTACTAGATTTCACCAAATTGTTTTTTAAATTGTTATACATATTTATACTTGTCTTGGCCTCTTGAGTCTGGGAACTTAGCTTTTTACCTTTGTGTCTATTTTTAATAGCATTTACTTGGCACAGAGTTGGTAAGTATTCACCAATAGTTTGGGGAATGAAAAGGAGGATTTCATACCAATACTTGAATGACTACCATGTTGAGCAACTGTTATTTTATCAATTTTAGGTAAATTTTACAAGGTTAATTTTATAGAGTGGATAACCCAATTGTGATTTTGGTTAGACTTTTAAGAGTTTATTTTTGAAGGTCCCTAACTATATTGGTTAAGATGCGATAGCTATATTCCAAAGAAAGATGCGTTGACAAAATTGCATTAGTATTTCAATTGGTAAAAAACGATTGGGGCTAACATTTCCCATAAGTGATAGCCATGTGTAAAGCTGTGTAAAACCTGAACATCACTTAACATTTAATTATATCTGGCTTTTTGTTCAATAGTAATATGCCCATTTTTTTCTATTACTGCTAAGCATTATTCTTGTATTTTGCTTTTATACATTTGATCCCTTTATTATTTTTGGTTATTGTAAAAATGCACCACTCTATTTGGTGCTACAACTTTTTACCTGCATGGACAGTTACTATGACATCATGCAAATGATACTGTCTTGCTTGCTTTTTTTTTTTTTAAGATTTTATTTATTTATTTATTTGAGGGAGAGAAAGAGAGAGAGAGAGGAGCCAAGGGAGAGGGACAAGCATACTCCATGCTGAGTGCAGAGCCTGACGCAGGGCTCAATCCCATGACCCCAAGACCATGACCCGAGCTGAAATCAAGAGTCAGATGTTCAACTGACTGAGCCAGCCGGGCACCCCACAAATGATGCTTTCTAATTAATTCATTTAGTCATAACATTTGCTGCATCAGAAAAATTGTGCTGTAGAGAAAAGTCTCCATTTGTATTTAGCTGTGGGTCTAACATATTTTGAGGGGAATCATTCTATTTTAAGAAGAAAAATGAAGCCAACACTTGGAGAGTGTTGAAAATCTTTTCCCATCATGCTCTGGATTCACTGCCCTTTTGGGAATTGTTTCTGAGGAAATTTTAAGATACAGTTGTTTTGCAGACCAGTGTAGAAACTTTTCTGGAGTAGGAACGTATTGTATTTTGAGTTTCAAAATTTCTTAAGATGACAATAACTTGCACTTAAGTAGTGCTTTAAAACTTTCAAAATATTTTCTGTACAAGACTCATCTCAGTAATGAGGCAGCCAATGCTGACTCCACTTAACATGAGAACCTTGTTGCTCGGTTTGTTATTAGTGCAGGGTAATTCATGCAGCTCAGTGAGGGCAGAGTAGGTTGACAATACAGGCTTTTGGTGTTTAATTCATTTCCATGCTTTCAGCAATTAGACATTTAAAGAAAACGTGTCCCAAATGTTTTGTCAGTTTATAGGTGTCACTTCTCAAACTTAAAAGCAGAATATTTTGGTATAAATTGTATATGCATAAACTACTTCCTAAAGAATTTTGGAGAGGAATGTGTTTAGTTTTACTGCATTGGAATTACTGGCTTCAGTGTTATTTTGTAGATTAAATCTCACCTTTAGATAAAAAGTATGTACTTAAAACAGAAGTCTAATAAATGTTTTAAAAAGTTTGGTTTTTATTGATATCTCATACTGTATATATATTTTTCATAATCAGGTGATTTATAAAAGTCAGGTATAAGCTTCTGAATAGTTGACAATAATTGTCAGATATTTTATTTTTCCAGTTTTTTACTTTAATTATACAAGCAATATATGAAAATAATCATAAGAGTATTTAAAATTACGTTTTTCACAGAGCTGGAACGAACAATCCTAAAATTTGTATGGAACCAGAAAAGACCCTGAATAGCCAGGGGAATGTTGAAAAAGAAAACCAAAGCTGGGGTCATCACAATGCCTGACTTCAAGCTATATTACAAAGCTGTGACCATCAAGATGGCATGGTCCTAGCACAGAAACAGACAGATAGATCAATGGGACAGAATAGAGAGCCCAGAAATGGACCCTTAACTCTGTGGTCAACTAATCTTCGATAAAGCAGAAAAGAATATCCAGTGGAAAGAAGACAGTCTCTTCAGTAAATGGTGCTGGGAAAATTGGACAGCCACATGCAGAAGAATGAAACTGGACCATTCTCTTACACCATACACAAAGATAAACTCAAAGTGGATGAAAGACCTAAATGTGAGACAGGAATACATCAAACTCCTAGAGGAGAACACAGGCAGCAACCTCTTCGACCTCGGCCGCAGCAACTTCTTGCAAGACATGTCTCTGAAGGCAAGGGAAACAAAAGCAAAAATGAACTATTGGGACTTCATCAAGATGAAAAGCTTCTGCATGGCAAGGGAAATAGTCAACAAAACTAAAAGTCAACCTATGGAGTGGGAGAAGATATTTGCAAATGACATATCAGATAAAGGGCTGGTATCCAAGATCTATAAACAACTTATCAAACTCAGCACCCAAAAAACAAATAATCTAGTCAAGAAATGGGCAGAAGACATGAACATTTTTCCAAAGAAGACATCCAAATGGCCAAAAGACACATGAAAAAATGCTCCACATCACTTGCCATCAGGAAAATACAAATCAAAACCACAATGAGATACCACCTTACACCAGTTAGAATGGCTAAAATTCACGAGACAGGAAACAACAGATGTTGGAGAGGATGTGGAGAATGGGGAACCCTCTTAACACTGTTGGTGGGAATGCAAGCTGGTAGATTTCACCAAATTGGAAAACAGTATGGAGGTTCCTCAAGAAGTTAAAAATAGAGCCACCCTACAACCCAGCAATTGCTTTACTGGGTATTTACCCCAAAGATGCAGATATAGTGAAAAGAAGGGGCACCTGCACCCCAATGTTCATAGCAGCAATGTCCACAATAGCCAAACTGTGGAAGGAGCCGAGATGTCCTTCAACAGATGAGTGAAGATGTGGTGTATATATACAATGGAATATTACTCAGCCATCAGAAAGGATGAATACCTACTATTTACGTCGACATGGATGGAACTGGAGGGAATTATGCTAAGTGAAATAAGTCAGTCAGAGAAAGACAATTATCATATGGTTTCACTCGTGTGGAATGTAAAGAATAGTGCAGAGGATCATAGGGGAGGGGAGGGAAGACTGGATGGTAGAAATCAGAGAGGGAGACAAACCATGGGAGACTCTTGACTCTTGACTCTGGGAAACAAACTGAGGGTTGCGGAGAGGGATATGGGTGGAGGGATGGGGTAGCTGGGTGATGGGCATTAGGGAGGGCACGTGATGTGATGAGCACTGGGTGTTATACACAACTGATAAATCTTTGAACACTACATCAAAAACTAATGATGTACTATATGTTGGCTAATTGAATTTAAATTAAAAAAATAAAATTATCAAAATACATTCAAAGACATAAAGAATAGTACAGCTAAGGCTTTGTATTCTTGTATCCTTCTGTGACTTTCTCTACCGTGTTTTTCAGAATTTTTTATATTTTATAGCACACCGTAGTTTATAACTTTTCTTAATTCAGGGTTATAGTTGGGATTTATTCAAGTTGTTTTAAGGCTTCTTGAGGCAGACCTTCCTGTTTCTCAGTCTTTCTAACATTTAGTTGATTAAAAAAATTTTTCCAATGTGTTGAATGTAAAATGGAGATTGTTGTAGTTTTAAAGGGCATTTTCCCTACTAGTGAGCTCATACATGTTTATGTTTATTGGTCTTTACATTTCTTCTGTGAATTACCCATTCATATCTTTTTGCACATTTTTCTTTTAGGTTGGTTGTGTGTCTTACTAATGTCTACATTTCATTAAAAACTCTTTGATTTAGGGGCGCCTGGGTGGCTCAGTTGGTTAAGCGACTGCCTTCGGCTCAGGTCATGATCCTGGAGTCCCGGGATCGAGTCCCGCATCAGGCTCCCTGCTCGGCAGGGAGTCTGCGTCTCCCTCTGACCCTCCCCCCTCTCATGTGCTTGCTCTCTCTCATTCTCTCTCTCTCAAATAAATAAATAAAATCTTTAAAAAAAAAATAAAATAAAAACTCTTTGATTTATATTTGTTGGTAATCTTTTAAGGAACACCTTACACATTTAATAAAGAACTTTTTACTGTGGGGTATTACCATTCCTGGTTCACATAAATTAGTTTTAAATTCTTAGACAGATTTGGGAAAGTTTCTAGAAAAGCAAAATTAGTAAACTCATTAAAGTTCTTGAAGGTTGATTTATAACCTTGCTGCTGGTGCCAATTGAAAATTTGAGCATGTAAAATTCTGTAAGGCTCCATTATAATTTTGTAAAAAATCAGAATGCTGCTTAAAACTGCCATAATATTTATTTTAGTTTTTAATATTTGTTTATCTTTGTTTTTTCTCCTTAATTAGGTCCTCGATGGGCTTCCTGGAATATTGGTGTATTTATTTGCATCAGATGTGCTGGAATCCATAGAAATCTTGGAGTTCATATATCCAGGGTCAAGTCAGTCAACCTAGATCAGTGGACACCGGAACAGATACAGGTAAACATTTCCTTACTAAGAGATTATTTACAGTATTTAAAATGCATTTAAAATCTTTAACTCTTCTTGCATCTAAGGGTTAACATTGAAAATGGAGTATGTTGAAATGGCATGTGCCAGATAATAAAATTTAGGCGTTACCTGAAATGTCCACTCTCAAATGTTTATATCTTCTTGGGTCGTAGTGAACTCAGTTTTTGATCTATTCTTATTTAAAATGTTGCTTTTGAAATCTTTAAAAAAATCAATTCCTTTTCCTTGTGTTGATGAAATTTGTGGTGTTGTTTTTCTGTCAGTAGAGGGAGCCTGGGTAAAGATAAAAAATAAATCACCTCTTGCCCAAGAACTGACTTGAAGGATTTCCCTTTTGTAGAAGTGTTCTTGATTTTCAGACAGGGCCCAATAGTTCGAAGATAGCCGGTTAGCAAATGTTCTAGTGACTGATTTGGATTTTTTTTTTTTTTT